TCATGGCTCGTCCACTGCACATACGACTGTGGCTGGATGGGTGCTCGCACTATCTCAGACGGCTTAAAACGCCAGCTTCCCTTGGGAAACTTCACTTTGACCCTGCCCGAGTCATTCAAGTCCTTTAACACCACGCCCAGGTGACCCCTCGGGATGTCGTCATCTGCCTTGGTCCAAAACACAAGCATCTCGGGCTGAAAATCGCACAAGATGAGCTTCTTTGGCTTGTACTTTTGGTCTTCGCCTTTGACTTCAACAACCACTTCTTTGCCATCATCCACGCGCTTGACCTCTCCAATCACCTCGTCAGAGTCACCAGCAACCTGCACAAATGCACCGACCTGAATGTCCGCCGCACACAACCATCTCGGTTCTATAGGGAACTTGCCGGCGCTGAATTTCACCAGCAGCACGCCCTTATCATAATCACCAGGAACTTGCGTGATTTTGCCAAGCTCATTGCGGTCAACGTCCTTGTCCGCATTCATCCAATACACGAGCTTCCCTTCCGTCAAGTCCTCATACCCCTCATTTTTCGACATGCTTGCGCCGCACCGGGCCGAGCTGTGAGTGGATTCGGCTGCAGCTACAGGCAACCCAAAAGCTCAAGCTGCAAGTAGAAAGTTCATCTGGGCACGTGAGGACAGGTCTCGTTCCTTGAGAAAAACGAACCCAAGTCCAGCTGAACCACTTGTTGCCCTCATGCCCCCTCCCGCACCTGGAGGTCGTCAGCGTACGCCTCCTGCGCAAATAGATTCCGACGCCCACCGCCCCAGAGAGACCCCAAATCCTCTCGTACCATTGTCCAGGGTGGTCAGCGGCGGGGGTGCCACAAACTGAAACTCATGTGCTGATAATTTCGACGAATTTCGGTTGCAACATCCTATTCTTCCTTTTTCCGACAGTGTGAGGACTGGCCTTGCATCCAGGCCAAGGGAAAATCAGTTGGAGCAACGTACTGCAACACAACAGGAAGAAACAAGATGCTTGCGATCAACTTCACATTGACATGACCGCTCTCACGTGGACGCTTGCAGAGCCTCGGCGAGCCTCCGTCCTCTCAGAAGAAACCTGGTGAGCACGGATCGGCAACCTCAGCTGCACGAGGCGCTTGCCGGTGCCTGCCTGAAGCTACTCGCAGACTGCGAGGCAGGTGCCGAAAATGTCTTGCACTTGACATTGAGGTCTTGTGTACTTTCCCGCGGGATTGATGGCGTGCATTTCGACGCCCTAGGCCTCCAACTCCAGTATTCTAATTCCATGAAAGTCTGCATCAGAACGGCGAGTCTACTGTTGCCGGGGCCCCAGCAGCGTGGCTGAGCTCTGGCCATACTGGTATGGATCTCAGATATTGAAGGGCAGCACGCAGATTCATGCGGCGGCCAGAAAAGCTAAGGCAAACGGAGGCCATCAGACTGCATGGGCCTTTGGCAGAGAGGACTCCGACACCAGGGCGGTGAAGCCCTCAGGCAGGGGCTGACTGTCTGCGACTGAGACTTCAACCCCCGCGTGCCTGTTGAAACTTGCGCTCCAGCTGACCAAGCTCTGTCAGTTCCACAGCTGCCTCAGGTGCAGTTCTGAGTAGCGCCAGGCTGCAATGATGCCATGTCTCAGCCAAGCGCAAAATCTCCGAAGCATCTTGCCTGCGCGTTGCATCCATAGCCCGGTTGCAGCATGTTGCAGCTAGCTACAAGCTGGTCTTCAGCGCGTGCCTGCAAGCGAGATGTCGAGTCAGCTGGCTGCGCACCCGCAGGCCTGGAATTCCAAGATGAGCACACGAGCCAAGACTGAGGATCTTGCCTCCACGAATGTCTGCACCAAGGGGGAACTCTTGTGCTGTCGCAAAATTTGATCAACTCTGCAGATTGCGTATTGCAGTGTCTAAGTTTCCGTGCACATGGCCTCGATCTCTCTGGAGGGAAGTGAAGCACGATGAAATTCGTGTATCGCATTGAGCTTGGCATCTTTCAGGGCTAATTTGAGCTACACGTGCTCAGCATCAATCAGCCAGTACGGCGCTTCATTTCAGAAAGCACAACCGATGAAGTTTGCATTCCCCTCAAATGGAACAGACTTCAAGGCTTCGCGATGCTTGGGAAGCTCCAAGGCCATGGCGGCTAATAATGCCATAACATAATTAACCATAAACCCATCATCATAACAAGAACAAACGTAAAGTAATAGTATAGTCATAACCATACTTTTAACGATTATAACATCCGAAGTTGCCATTACTTCCATCCGCAAGGACCCCACCAGGCCTGAATTTCTGTTCAAGGTTTCCGCAACTTTCACGACCAGCTGCCATGGCGATCTTCGGCAGCCTTTTCCCGGTAGTTCTTCCAGCTCGCCTCCAGGGCAAAAGCACACCCTAAGGGTCCAAGTACTCATTATTTAAGGACTTTGGGGCCTTTATGGGTACCCAAAACCATAAATAAGGACTACTTGGACCCTTAGGGACAGAGAGTCTAGAGCCTGCTTTCGCATACTGTTCTTTGCAGCACTAGCTGCCTTAGGAAGGCAGGGGCCATAGCAGACACGACAAGCGGTCGCAGGCGCTCGTGTACTGCGGACTCAACGCAGCCACCAGATCCACCGCAGTGAGAACGATCCGTCGCAGCAACCTCACAAAGCTGCTGAAACAGCATTGGGCAGCAAAGGGGGACTCTAAGACTGAGGTACAAACGGAAACACAGGCCGTCGAATTCATCTCCTGGCTCCCGTTGTCGAGGCTCTCCCTCTCATACAAGTCGTCACGATGTTGTAACTTGTCATCTCCTTGCCCTTCGAATCGATCCATGGACTCGCGATACGGGTTCCACACAACTGCTGCTGATGAGCCAGTCTCCACCGGACTGCTTGGTCGAAAGACTGTCCATGTCTGAAGTCTGGAATGCAGGATCTTAGGTTCATCGTCGAGTGCCGAGGAAGCATACCGCTGCGCACAAGCATCATGTTCAGGTTGGAGGCTCGCACGGCGACATGTTGTTCCCTTGGCTTGGACCCAAGGCTAGCAGGATCGCTCCAGCTGTAGCCCGGCCCGGAATGCCCAGGAATGGCTCTTCCACCAATGTACCCGCCGAGAGCAGGCAGGCCGGAAGTTGGAGCCAAGACAGCAACATGGGCAAACATGGTTGTCCCAGGTGACATGCGCTCTGCCCACTAAGGGGCAAACTTCGGAATTTTGTCCAAGACAAATCAGGTTGGCACTACGGAACCTGAATCAACATAAACCTTAGGCTTAAAACCAAGTTTTTCCTTCTATCTTCGTCGCGAGAATTTTTGAAGAAGTCCTCAGCCGCGGGATGCGATGAAGCGCCTCCTGTGGATGGCTCTGAGCCGGTGTATTTGTCACAACCGGGCTTGAAGATATATGAGACTTGTGCCTTCGCAGGCAGGACATTTGTCTGGCTTGGACAGGCAGAGGAGTGCAGAACGCATCTGTTCTATTGAGGCCAATATTGGAACGCGACCTTGGTCAAGGACCTCAATCGTCGTATCACGAGGTGGGTTGGTTTTAAACCAAAGCGTGGCTTTCCCCTTGACAATAACAGTCTCACTGTCCGCAATCGAGCTCTTTGTGTTCGACGGTGTGAACGTTGATTTTTTTCGCGCACCCTTTTAGCATCCGTCGGAACCGTGAGTCCTGGTCCCGTGCAAAGACTGCGTGCTAGGGCCCGCTCGCAACAGCTTGGGGTAAGCCGCACGCTTTCAGCGAAGGCGATCGCGGCTTCATCATGCGAGGCAGCAGAAGGCTAGGGCCTCCTTTTTCGTGTCAAGGGGACACGAGAGTGATGTCGCAGCACAAAATGCCCCGAAGTCGAGGCGGCGGTCGGCGGGATCCACGCCAGGGGCAGGCGTGGAGCAGCCTCTGCAGGACGATTCCGAATTTTGATGAATTTGGTGATCCAAGCGACGAACGACGTCCTGGCTTCCATTCCACGCTTTGAATAGGCCGAAAAACGAGGAAGACCCATTGCTCTCCCATAACAGAGAAAGGGCGCATTTTCTTCTTGAAGCACCCGACCCCATCTTCACCGACAAGCCTTGTTTCGGTGAAGCATTTCCTTTTGAACTGATTATACCGGAGAGCCTCGTCTTGAGAGACGGTCCCCTCTTCTCCTTGTCCACCGTTGTGATGTCGCACCAGTCGTCGATCAGCTGTTCGTGTTCGAACCATGACGTTGTGCCGTCATACGCCGGTGCAAAATATATCTTCGGGGTAATGCCGAGTTGGATTTAAAGGTTGTCTGTCGACGCATATCCCTGGCTTGCGGTTTAAGACGCTAGCCCTGGAGAGGTCGGAGTATGCTGCGGAGGTGTTGCTGCCGTCATCCGTTGCTCAACCTCGGCCCCGCCTTGATAAGCGATTGGCCGGAACAAACCGCTGAGGCGGTATTGGCGAAGGGGAGATGAAACCACCTGAGCCACATGAGACAGAGTATACATGTATGAATGTATTGGCCATGTCTGTCATTGCTGACAGCATTATATTGCTTGCGGGCGACGTGCTGGCGCCGTAGCCGTAGGTAGCCGGTAGCTAGCTGTAGCCCTAGCATTCCGAGCTCAGGCAGCTTCGGCAGCCGGAAAAAGGGTCCCAGAAAACAAAAAAAATCGCAGCTTCCATTCCCCGACCCCTCCCAAGAAAAAAAAAAACGATGCAGGTTCCCCCTCCAACAAACAATTGATCCGTGGTAAAACAAGCCTGCCTGCCGCCCCCCCTCCTCCCGGAAAGGACACGGTTTTCCCGCCACACGGAATCCCGGATTTGACAAAAGTTCATTCGACACAGCAAACCTCGCCGCATTGCATCCCGGCTATTGCCAAGTATGACGCGGATCAGCTCGCACTTGATTATGCCACGATCCTCTCGCCCGGAACCACGCTGTCACGACAACCACAAATGCGAGAACCTGGCTTGAGCTCGGCAGTCAATTCGGGGGCGTGAAGATAAAGATCTCGCATGCGGCTACAGAAGCGACTCTGTCGCCTCGCAGGGCGCCAGCGAGTCGGGGAGCTGTTCGCACCACAAGGCCCAATGCGCAACGAAGCGGTCGGAGGAGGCGGAGCGGAGGACAAGTCCCCCCACCCGCTGAACAGTGTTGAGGCTCCGGGGCGGCCAGGGGGCATCTTCGCCGTGCGCAACGAATGCGGCCAGGCAAAATCGGCGGTGAGGTGGGGGGGCAAGATGCGAAACAGGCAGTTGCACGCGGCGTGGCGACGCCGCTTGCAGCTTTTCTGTTGTTTATTTTCTTTTTTTGGTAGCACGCGGCTGTTACACCTGCCAAAGGGCGTCCAGGTTGGGGCCCGACAATGCGATGCGAACTACGGCAACTGCGGAAGGCACGGCCGGTGAAAGGCCGTTGCCAGGCTATAGTCCCAGCACGCGTCAACACCGCGCCGTCACGCGAGTCTGCCAGGAGGTTGGCGCCGGGGTCGCTTGCAACGCCCGACTCGCAGACAGGAGTACCGCCGAGGCACTGAGAGACGGCCGGATCATGCTCCGCTGCATAGTTTGCTTTTTTTTCACACGCCTTTTTACATCCGCGAGGTACAAGAGGTCCCTGTGCAACCAAACCTACGCACTACCGGGCGGCCAGGGGGCAGGGGGTTGCTAGCGCGCCTCCGCGAGGAGCTCGTGCAGCTCTGGCCCGGGCCCGTCACCAAGGTCGGCGGCGGGAGGCAACTCAAGCAGGGAGGCAGCGAAAGCGCGCTGCGCGGCGACTGCGAGGAGCCCCGACCAGCGCGCTACCCAGGCAGTGATGGCGG